ATATATGATAATTAACTTTATAAATTCTTATTAGATAAATGAATGTATCCGATACTGGAAAAATAAAAGGGAGTGGAGAGGAAGAGAAAGAAAGAATTGAGATGTGTTAAGTTCATGTACCAATTCCTTACAATGAATGTAACATTATGTACTGCAAACATGTATCAATAAAGATGAAAAAATTAAAAAATGACAGAAAGACTACATCTTTTAAAATTAATTAATAATTTATTTTGAAATAATTTCCAACTTTAACCTGTAGGAACATAGCCTTTTAACCCAGATTCCTTGTCAACATTTCCCTGCATTTGCTCTCATCACCCACTGTGCCTCTTTATGTACCCATTGTCATTAGTGATTTTGAGAGCCATTTGAGAGCAGACTGCCCATATGGTGCTCCTTCATCCCAAACTCTTTCAGCATAGGATGGACCCTCTGCTATATAATCACTTAGTTGTTTCTGTTACTGTCTGGCAGCAGCCAAGGGGAAATGTAGCTGTCATGGTGCTCCTCCCATGATTGACTAGCCACCAGTCTGGTATTTTCCAGTCTCAAACCACCCTAGGTGATATTAAAATTGATCACCTGGCCTCTTTGCTTCTGCCAAACTTCACTATAATGTCACCATTTTCTTCTTTGTGCTTGATTAATACTGTGAGAGGAGATGCTGTCATGTTATCCCAGAATCCTATTCCTCATTAAACTCCAACTCACCAGCTTCAGCTCTCATAGATAACTATTGTAACAGTTGCCACAGGGTGATTTTCAGTTTTTGTCATTTCAAAATTTGCATTCTACTGAGAGGAAAAAGTATCATTCATCATTTCTTAGTTTACAGTATGGACTCTTAGATTTGTATTTTATTCAATAGCCTTAAGTAGCTGTGCAACATCATTGTCATTATCTTGATAGTCAAGATGAGTTCCCTTCCTCCCTCATTTGTTTTGACTCATCTCCTCATTCTTTAATATTTCTATGGCATAGCAAAAAGTTCCACATTGGCTGTGTACTTATCCTGCCACACCTGGAATCGGCTGATGTTCATTTTTTGTAGACAATGAAATTCATAAATAGCTGGATGTTCAGAATGCTCATTGCTATTGGAGTTTCATTGCTTCTAGTCCTTCTGAGTGGACAGACCTAGGGAATAAATGTGTGCATCTGTAAGTTTATTAAACAGCTGCCTCCCATGTGCAGGTAGATGTGGATCTACAGCACCCACTATATTTTTCTTTAGCTATCTGCATAGATTAAAGCCCATGACTTCTTGTTAAAGTACCCAATTCTTTTTTCGTTTGTTTTTTGAGACAAGGTCTTGCTATGTAGTTCAGATTGGCCTTGAACTCACTATGTAGCCCAGGCCAGCCTTTAAGTCATGGTGATCCTCCTGCCTCAGCCTCCCAAGTGGTGGGATTACATGCATGCACCAACACACCTGGCTTTAATACACCAATTCTAATGTAACACTTAAGAGTTCTTTCCATATTTCCATGTTTGTAAAGTCTCAAAAAAAGAGAAAAACCTGGCTGTCATCCTTAATATACTTATTGACTTGCTCAATTTTCTTTTTATAACATTTTAAAAAATACTTTTTGTTAGTGCACATTAATTTTGTAAAAGATTGAGTTTCATTGTGGTATTTTCATACATCCATATAACATAGTTTGATTATATCTACTCCCTATTACCATCTCTTACACCCCTTCCTTCTTTCTCTCTATTCCCTTCCTTTTGTCTAATAATAGTCTCCCTTATATTTTTATGTCATTTTTTGGTTGTTGTTTAGATTCCACATATTAGGTGTTTTGGTTTTTTTTTTTGGTACCGGGGATCCAACTCTGGTCCTTGTGGCAGAACCACTGAGCTAAATCTCCAGCCCAGATTCTACATATCAGGGAAGACTTGTGATATTTCTATTTCTGAGTTACTTAGTCATTTTTCTTATTCCTTAATAGACTCCTGGCTCACTACCCCCTTTGCAGCCCATGTTTCTGGGAGGCAGCGGTTGCTGTATCCTACACAAAACTTCCATCAGGGGAAGGGCAAGTCTAGTAAAAGTTACTGACATATATTTTGAATATGAAATAACATATAGCAGTGTAAGCCATTTTCCTCCAGGCTGAATATAACGATTTTCAATTAAGTTGTTTCAGTAAGTTGTAGAAATTTATTTATTCAACAAATTTGGAATGCCTACTAGGTCCCTGGCATTGTGCAAAATAGCTAATGATCCAGGTATGTCCTCTGTTTTCAGAAACCCTATAATCTGATGGAGATTTCATGATGTTCTCATGTGATACAAAGATTAAAATATATAATGTAAGCCCCCAATCCTAAATTGGAGGGTTAGGCACATGGAGTTGAAGAAAGTGAAGAGATTGTATGTGCAAAGGGAGACAGGTTATGCTCCAGTAATGGCTTTGGCATTTCTTGTCTATAAACAAAATGAGACCAAAGGATTGACCATTATCCACTAAAAATAACAGATGTGACAGGGCTCTTTCCGGTAAATTTCATTTCAGGTATTCAATATTCAGTGTGCTGCATACTATGGGGTAGGGAAGTGGTGACAGATTGACACAGTTCTTCTTGGGAATGTTTTGCAGTGTAAGGGAGAACTGCACGCAGATGGCCTTTGAGAGGTTATATCAGGCTCAAGAGTAAGGTGAGGAGACCAGGGGAATTCTAGACTGTGGACTAGAGCAAGAGTCAGAAGATTCTTCCTGTTAAGGAAGATTGTAAATACTTTTAACTTTATGGGGCATACAGGTGTGTCGACATTACGTAAACGGGTGAGCTTAGTCCTGTTCCAGTGTTTATGAAAACAGACAACAGGTGATCAGCTCTAGAGTGCTGATTTCTGGAACAGAATGTAAACTCCAGGAGGGCAAGACTTTGTTGTTTTCATTTGTTTATATGGTTATTTTGTTCTCAATTCTATCCCATGTCCTAGAGGATTGTTGTATGTATACATAGTAGATACTTAGACACTTAATTCTTGATTGGAACTGTGCATTTGTGATTATACACTATTGTTTTTTGTAATGCTTAAAGTCAATGCAAGCCAAACTAAGGGAGCTGTAGAATTCTTTGTCTTATCACATTCACATTCAGTTTCTGGTTGAACAATTCAGAATTTCTTGATCATTTTTGGGGTGGGTACTTTTAAAACCTGGAAAGGTTTTTTGCCAGTAAAGCCTTAGTGAATAACAAGCTTGTTTCTGATCATTTTAGAAGCAATAACTAGATTGCTATTAATAAAGAAGATGCATCAAAAGCTAAAGATGAATGCGCTTTGAAAGTTTACCCAATTATTAGTAGCATGTTTTTGTGTCAGCACTGGAGGGAGAAGGAGGTCACCAGACAAATAAGAGATACTTTCTGTGTTATTGCCTGCTCCAGACTTACTGAACTCTCTGTGTCCTTGATGTTTCTTTGAGATGTACATTTGCTCTTTGCCCTCACCAGCCATTGTATAATTGTGACAGTTCAGGGACAAGAGATAATAAATGCTGAGGTCTCATTTGTGTTACTCACTGTGGTACAGTGACCCGGGATATTTATCATTCATAACAATTGTATAATCATAGGATTGACCTTTGTGGGAATCATTATATGAGATTAAAATAGCTGTCAGCTCTGATCTTTCATTTGGAATAGATGCTGTTTTCTCTGTGAAATACGTTTTAACTTACTCATCAGTTCTGAAGAGAGACTGGAGAGAGACACCAGAATTTTGACCAGGCTAAGTCAGGCCTCCATTTCATCATGGCTGTCCACTTGCAGTGTCCCTTCTGTATTTTTTGTCCTCCTTCCTATCTACCTAAGTATTCATTACTCTCACATACCTACTTAGTTTGTTTGAAACATAATTGTGTCTGTTCTATGCCTCTACATCCTTAAAGGGCATCCCCTACTGGAGTGATGTCTCTGTATTCGAAACTGAGTACTTTCCAGTTCACTTAACACTTAACAAGGAAGGAAATGATCTAGCTGGATAAGACATTTTTCCTTTTTTTTTTTTTCACAATTCTCTGTACATGTTTTATTTACAGTTTTGTACACTGTCTTAATATGAATGGGACTGCTTTTCTACTTGAGCCATTTTTAACCAAAGCAAAATAACCTAAGTAATACAAAGTATTAAAATACAGCATAAAGATACAAAAACAGACATCTAATTCTAGCTAGGAATGTAATTATGATGTTATATTTTTTTATAATCCACAATTGTGTTTAGGAAATCACACAAACATAGATCACTGATTTGAATGAAATGCATAAATTTGTAGCAAAGCTTTGTAGTTATAAAAAAAATTACCAAAGAATGCACAGAATTAATGTTTATTCCACCCTCATGTCATATTCCTGGATCCTTTACCAATGTTACATGAGGAAAAAACAAAAGCAAAACAAATGAAAAACTGAAATCAGAATCACTAATGCTATTAAGTAGGGAAACAAATAAATTAAAATCTAGCAGCCATCAGCAAGAGTACAGCAAAGATAATGCTGTCAAAAGAAACAAAGAAAATTGCTAGAAAACTGTATGCATCATACTCTTTCAAACCAGCAAAAGACATTTTTCCTGAGTGATAAGAACTGGTGGTGTGTTCTTATCCTCTGGCATCCTGCATTCTAGCCTTTGGATTTCCACTTAAGATGTGTTGTTTTTTGGTTTGGTTAGATTTTAGGAGTGAGACCACTACTTCTGGTATTCTATGAATCATGATTGTGTAGAACTTGGTTAGGTAGCAAGTGAAGCTATTTGAAGATACTAATCATCAAACATTACTCAGAGGCTGTTTTGTACTTTACATTGTGTTGTATGGAGTAAGGATGGCAGGACACTCAGGAGAATCTATATTTTATTTCAAGGAACTTTTTTTTGTTGCTAGCAATGGAACCTAGGGCGTTCTGCATGCTGAGCACTGACTCAACTACTGAGCTATATTCCCAGGCCAATTTAAAGGAAACTTGAAGTTTAAATGTGTCATTTTCAAAAATGTATAAGTAGTTTTGAGAATAACTGATAGAAAGCTAGAGGCATCTGATCCATCTTTCTTACAGGTCCTAACTAGTGATTCACATCCTTTGTATACCAACCTTCTATCTATCTTCAGTTCCTTTTTTAATCTCTTTAAGAGTTGTTGCTTACTTTCTGTCCACAGATTTATCAACCTTCAATGAATGTAATCAATGCAGATGCTAGTAGAACTTTGTTTAAAATGAAACAATAATACTGTATATTTTTGTGTTTACAGTGGGATCATGAGACCTGGCCTCAATGCCATTCTTGGACCCACAGGTTCAGGCAAATCTTCGTGAGTATAGCAGAAAATATAAGTAAGCCTTTTCTGTACAATTTCAGTGTGTTTTTGAAAATCACTTTTATAGGCTAAAGAGTATAGCTCAGTGGTTAAGTACCTGCCTAGCATGCACAAAACACTGGGTTTAATTTTGAGCACCACACAGAATCTAATGTATATACTAAAAATCACTTTTACATGAGCACATGTTGAATAAGCATTTGCTGTTCTTGTTCTGTCTGGTCCTAGGTCCTGTGGCTAGTGTGAGGTTGGGGGAGGTTCTGGTTTTGGACCAGAAAGTCTGATTACCTCAGCTTTACTAATAGGACATGATAAAGTGATTGGCATATAGCAGTGATGGTGAACCTTTTAGAGACCAAGTGCCCAAACTGCAACCCAAATCCCACTTATTTATTGCAAAGTGTCAACACTGCAATTAGACCCGACTACTGAGGTTTTAGTTTAGGAAAAGCAACTCTACATTGCCATTTTATGTCTTAAAAACACAATAACATAGGTGCCGTAGGCTTACCACCTCTGGCATATAGCATCTGGCTATATTATGAACCAGTGGGGAGGGGAAACGAAGGGCTAATATTAAAAGTGGGGAGATGGAACAGAAGGTAAAGTTGAGAGTGTGAGTTTTAGATAAGGAAGTATGTAGCCTGCGTTGGAACCTCCAAGGTCAAGGTCAGGCAGCAGGAGGGTCATTTGGGAGGTCTGTGCTCCATATACCAATGATGCCTTGCTTTAATATTTTTGGGATATATATAATATATAAAACATATTAGATATATTATATATGCATCATATATATATATATATATATATCTTGATGACTTAATTTTCTAACTTGAGCAGAATTTGGATTCAACATGGCTAAAAGATATGACCTGTGTTGGATGGAACCCCCCCACAAAATACATGTACTTTTTTAGGTTGTTAGATGTCTTAGCTGCAAGGAAAGATCCACATGGATTATCTGGAGATGTTTTGATAAATGGAGCACCTCAGCCTGCCAATTTCAAATGTAATTCAGGTTATGTGGTACAAGTAAGTATCAATAGATTGGTCTTTTAGGTTTCCTCTGTTTCTATATGGGCAAATGTCTTGGCTTTTAGCTTAGTGTGCTTCCAATGATTATATAATATGCTCACAGAAACAACTTTCATTATATCAGCTGTGCATGATTTCATATTATGTTGAGGATGATGGTAAGTCGAAAGGAAGAGAGGATCTGGACTATGACCCTTGTAGGGTAGTGACATCAATTCCAGCTGTTTTATCCTTTCCAGAAGATACTACTGTCATCCTTTTCTGCCCTTCTTTTACCTTTCTCCTTTCCCTAGCTTAGAGAGATGTCCTTGGCAAATCCCTGTACATAGCACTCTGTTGATAACTATAGTATTACTAGGACTCTCCTTGGGTATGCAGGTGGGGAATAGAAATGACTCCATCAGGCTCTGCAGCTGTCTGTACATGAAGCCACTGCAATATGTAGAATTGAAAGATCACCATTAACTAGAACTTTATCATGGGTTTGTTATTTTCAGGGAATAAATTACCTATGCTAGAGTGATGATTTTAGAAGAGATTCAATATGTCTCAGTAAAATTCCGTTTTTTCCCTTAAGGATGATGTTGTGATGGGCACGCTGACAGTGAGAGAAAACTTACAGTTCTCAGCAGCTCTTCGGCTTCCAACAACCATGACAAATCATGAAAAAAATGAAAGGATTAACAAGGTTATTAAAGAGTTAGGTCTGGATAAAGTGGCAGATTCCAAGGTAATGTGATAAAAGCCTAATATCATAGTTAGGAAATAGGAACTCTTCTGCATGAATAATATAACCTTAATCACAAGTTTCCTGTAATGTGAGTACTTTCTGTAATGAGAAAAATGACAAGGGACTACATAATGTGAAGGTAGAAGTTAAGCTGGAAAACCAGTCACCACAATGGGTGAATCCTGGGAATGGAGTGAAGTCGGGCTGCACAGGTACACTTACGTGGGTTTTTTCACAAATCCTCCCCAATACTCACAGTTCGTGCTCAGTTGATTCCTTTGCACTAACTCTTTTCTCTGTTTTTCACTTCCTACTTTTATCTGTTCTTCTCCCTCTCTTCCTTCGGGGACTTTGTTCCATTGCTTTTTTGAGGTATATTTCTAGAATTGATAAATCTGAAGAATCCAAATAACAAGAGTCCAAGGGTTCTTGTTCTATATGGTTCACTTTGCTGTAATTTGGCTTCCAAAATTATATTCAGTCATATTAAGATTTAATTTGTGTAGTGCTCAAGTTATTTTTCTGTGGCCTTTCTTTTGGTACTTTTGGTCCCTGTCTCTTCCCTCTGCTGTCTTCACCCACTTTTCTGCTAATATTAATTTCCAGACTCTTACATGCAGGGTCTTTTTTAGGTTTAATGATACAGATGTGGACAAGAGTAAGAGGACAAAGTGACTCCTTGTGTGGGTGGTGGTGCAGGATCAGGAAGAGGAAATGAGAGGAATAAGTGAGTGAACATGGAAATTATGCTGATAGACATTTAGAACTTTGGGTAAAAATGAGTTACTGATATTATAATGATTGTTATTTAACCCTTTGCAATAGCCCTTCCTGAAAGGGAATGACAAATGGTGTTTCTACTATCTGCTGTTTTCCTTGGTACTTACTGAAAGTCTTTTAAGTAAACCAGTTTCTTGCTGAATTTTATTTGAAAGAATAACTCCAGGATGCCACCATTCACTACTTATTTTTCTTTTTTGAATGATAGAGTTTGATTTGTGCCTGTTTATTTGCTTGACTTTGTTTTTCCAGTAAGGTACTTTCTTTTACTACATTCTTAACCTTTTTGTAATTTGCAGTGCTAGCTAAATGAACCCAGATCCTCACACATGCTAGGCAAGTGCTCTACTGGTGAGCTATAAGTGAGCTATACCACCTGCCCTGCTCTTACCTTTACAAGTACATTGCTTGGATTCCTGGGGTAAATATACAGAGTCAGATTTTGAGTTCTTAGAATTTGTACAATGTAATTGATTGAAGCAATTTAATTTTTTTTTTGGTACCGGGGATCGAACCCGGGTCCTCAGCTTGCGAGGCAGGTGGTGGAACCACTGAGCTAAATCCCCGGGCCTGATTGAAGTAATTTTAAAAGTTTTACCTTTTATAAATTTTAAACATAGCATAAATGTAATCTGATTATTATGATTATTATCATATGATTATTAAATAGTAGAATAGTATGATTACTGATACCTTTCATCTCAATTTCTCAGTTGCTGATGTCTCATAATTACTATAGTTCTTTCTTACTGAAGTACTTTAAAGAAAGTTATCCTGAATATATGTCATTCATTTACAAAAAGTAAATGAGGCTGGAGGTGTAGCTCAGTTACAGAGCATTTGCTTAGCATGTGTAAAACCCTAGGTTCTATCTCTGGCACCAAAACAAATAAGCAGAAAAAGAAAAGAAAAGAAAAGAAAGGAGGAGAGGAGAGGGGAGGGGAGGGGAGGGGAGAGGAGGGGAGAGGAGAGGAGAGGAAAAGGCTGCCTTACTCCATTACTGTTATCAACTAAAGATGAACATCTTCATATCATCAGCTATGTGAAGCCCATATTCATTCACATTTCCCAGATTATCTCCAAATGTCTTTTGTGGTTTAGTTGTTAATAGGGCAATGGGCAGCTCTTGATTATTACTTCTTTGGAGACTCTCTGTAATTGATTCCCTCTTCCAGCCTCCATAAAGCCTTCCTATGCCTCTTACCACACAGTGACATTGACTAGTTAGCAAATTGAGCCAGGTACCCTGTGGAATAGCTTACCTTCTGGATTTGTCTGAAAGGATGAATCGGGAATTCTGCAGTGAAGTAGGGTATAGACAGAGTCAGTTTGGAATATTTTATGGATATTGAAAAGGTGCTATACACAGTTACACGGTGTGGTAGAAAGTGAACATTCTAGATAGCCCATTCTTTTCTCTTAAGTCCACTTGAGACTTAAGGACTTTTGGAACTTGGAAACTTTAAGGACTTGGGACTTTTGGAAGAGGCAGTAAGTGGTGTTACTAGAAGACTTAACAGGTTACTATAGATTATTTCGCTTTTCTTGTCCTGTCTTTATTTACTATTTTAGGCTATAATTTCACTATGTCAGGGTTGTATCTTTTATGTTCTAACTTACTACCTTAAAATGAAACATTGGAGGGCCAGAGATTCAGCTCAGTGGCATTGCGCCTGCCTTGCAAGTGCAAGGGCCGGAGTTTGATCCCCAGTACCGGAGGGAAAAAAAAGAAACATTGGATATGAAAAGGAACATACAGAACTATAAAAAGCATGTGCTTCATATCAGGTTTAGCTTTACAGCAGCTCTGACCTGATCCTCAGTTTACTCATCTTGTACAGGAGAAACTACCTTCTTCTCTCAGGTGCCCATTTATTTGCTGTTCAGAATAATGAGGATAGTGAGATAAAGTATCTCACATGGGGATGGCACAGGTTAGTTCATAAAATGATAGTGACCATGATTGTTCCTGTTAATGATGGTAGTACTTTGTGTTTTAGGTTGGAACTCAGTTTATCCGTGGTGTGTCTGGGGGTGAAAGAAAAAGGACCAGTATCGGAATGGAGCTGATCACGGATCCTTCTATCTTGTTCCTGGATGAGCCCACGACTGGATTAGATTCAAGCACAGCAAATGCTGTCCTTTTGCTCCTGAAGAGGTAAATGCTATAAGAATATTGTTTCTTTCTTTATTTAATACAAATCATTGATCACTTCTATGTACCAGGTGTTCTTGATGCAGGGGACTCTGATGTGAACTGTAGAATTTTTAAATGAAGCATTAAAAGAAAAATAAAACATAAGCCCAGGAAAGGATGGCTGTTGTGGGGGGGAATTGTTTTAAGTGGTAGGAAGGTCAGGGAAGACCTCACCCTTATAATACATGACCTAGGAGGGAATGAGAGAGACTGAGGTGAATCTGACAGGAGAGAGCTCTAGTTGGAATGGACAAATAGTGCCACATGGGTCAAGCAGGCCTTCAGCACCTGGGACATCAAAGAGACCAGAAGGACAGAACCCAGTGACTAAGTGGAATAGAGTTTGGCTATGTACTGTTGTCATAAAATACCACAAACTAATTAATTTTTCTTATAGAAATTAATTTTTTTTACAGTTCTAGGAGGCTGGGAGTCTGAGGTCAAGGTGTCCAGGGGTTATTCCTTCTCAGTTCTCTCACTGGCTTGTAGATGACTGTCTTCTTCCTCTGTGTGTGTGTGCTTGTGTCCTAATCTCCTCTTACATGGATGCCAGTGAGATTAAGACCCACTCAGTGACCTCATTTAATCTTAATTGCATCTTTGAAGACTCTACCTCCAAATGTAGCCACATTCTAAAGTACTGAGGGTTAGAACTTTAGCACATGAGTTCTGAGGAGGACACAGTTCAGCCTATCACATGTAGACTAGGACAGGAGGTGGGATTTGATTGTTGGCAGGTTACACAGACATCATAGGCTCCTGTGAGAAGTATGGCTTTTACTGTCCCTAGGGGATGTAAAGGATGTTTTCAGAGTTCTAGAGCATAGCGCTGGCCACTGTGGAGAGGCCGTACAGTTGGCAGTAGTGAGTGTGAGGATGTCAGGAAGGAGGCTGTTGAGATGCGATGATGCTTTGATTAGGATGGTTGTGCTGAGGTGCTGAGTGTGTGTGTGTGTGTGTGTGAATTCTGGGTCTTTTTTGAAGACAGAACCAACAAGATCAGCTCAGGTATTGAACCCGGTGTGTGATGCTTGAGACAATGATTCCTAAGATTTGAGGTCTGAACAAGTGGAAGAATGAAGTAAAAGAAATGGCATTTCTTTTAATCAAGAAAGAAGACAGTGGCAGGAACATTTATAAGAAAAATTCCCCAAGGATACCTTCCTTAAAATTAATAGAAAGTAATTTGAAACTGACAGAAAAGTTCCAAGTGTAGTACAAGGTGAAAAATCACACTTCCCTCACCTGCATTCCCCAACTGTTACTTTTTGCTTCATTTGCTGCCCTTTCTACCCTCTCTGTACTTGTTTACATATTACCCTAAATATACTCCTGACCATAACTCTGGGGAGCCAGGACACTCCACTGTGCCACCCTCCCAGGGAGGAAGTCACCTTTCAGAGCTTCAGCACCATCCAATTTGTAGGTCCTAGCCGGGGTCACCAGCTCTCCCTTCATTGTATGGATCCTCTCTAGAAAGACATCTTTTGTCTATTATTTTCTAATGTAGAAGAGTTTTGCAGCCTTTCCCTGTCTTTCCTGTCCTTGCGAATACATTTCATGGCATTAAACCTTGGACTGGGCCAATACTAGTGTCTGTGAGCTGACTCAGACCACAAAACACTGTGTCACACACTGGGCTTACTCCACCTTATATTAAAATTATTAATCTTCTGGTATGATCCTTGAGGCAGAGCATCTGGACACAGGATAATAGCAAGTGCTCATCAAATGCTTATATTGAAGTGATTCTTCTCATAAAATACTTTCGATAATAATTTTGAACAGTGAGCTTGGTCTTTCTTCTACCTCTAAATAATAACTCCTGTGAAAAAGTAGTTTAACACAACCTCTGCCATGAATAGAGATTGAATCCTAGCTTTGTCTCTTAGTAACTATGACTCTTTAGACAGTTGATTGATACTTTAAACCTTATTTGCAAAATGAAGGAAATAGTAATATTGGAACAATCTTAAAAAAATTGAAATGAGATTATCTCTATAAAGCATTTAGCAAAGACATAGTAAGTATATGTTAATATTAATTGTATTGGTAGGGCAGAAGAATGAAAACCAATTTCTAAAGAGCCAAACCATTTACATGATCAATAGGAATTGTTCTTTTCCTCCTGTTTTAAGATTTAGTCCATAATTAATTCCCAAATTAGATTGTACTTACAGATTACCCAGGGTACTTGTTAAAATATAGACTGCCACCCTCTAGAGATTCCAGCTCAGTGTCTGCAAAGATTGTCCAGGAATCTACATTTTTAAATAAATGTTCTAATGGATTCTAGGCTGTTGATAAAACATACTTTAAGATACCCTAGACTTTGTGTGTGTGTGCGCGCGCGCACACTGGAGATAAAACCTAGGGCATCATGCATGCTGAGTGTGCCATATAACACTGAACCATACTCCCAGCCCCCCTAGTCTTTTTTTTTTTTTTTTTTTTGGTACTGGGGATTGAACTCAGGACCTTGTGCTTGCGAGGCAGGCGGCGGAACCACTGAGCTAAATCCCTGGCCCTTCACCCTAGTCTTTTAATAAAAGCATTGCATTTATGTTGCCCACCTATCAAATAGGAAGTATAAGATAAGGTGAGACAGTAATAAAGGAAAACCAGGTTGAACTGGGAACAAATGATTTAACAATTGGACTTCGTAAGATATTTTATCAAAAGGTACAAAGTTCAGTTATTAAATAATCTGTTATTTTCTCTCTTTTAACCTAGGATGTCTAAGCAGGGACGAACAATCATCTTCTCCATTCATCAACCTCGATATTCCATCTTCAAGCTGTTTGATAGCCTCACCTTATTGGCTGCAGGAAAGCTAATGTTCCATGGTCCTGCACAGGCAGCTTTGGAGTACTTTGCCTCAGCAGGTATGGTTGCCTTTTTTGTGCAGTAGGCTCTTTCTTCACAGAGTCCTGGGAGAGAACCCAGGGAATTGAGAAGAATGCTGTTTGATCTTTGCATAGATATATCTTGGATTCCACCACCTTAAAACAACTTTAGATGCTTGCTTCTAGAATTTTTCTTCATTTTGCAGTGTTTGTTTGGTGTTTAAGTCTGTTTCCATTTCCTGTCCCATTTGAGTGTGCATAGATGTGTGTGTATTTTTCTCTTAGGCTTGCTTCTGTTCTGCTCCCCAAGTGTGGCTACCTTTCTCTGACAGTTCAGTAATTAACATGTTGGACTCATGGTCAGTTCTTCTGTCAGATGAACAGTTTTGGAAAGGCCAAGGGTCACTGACTTTGAACTTATAGTAGATGATGTATTATTAGTTTTTTCCCTGGCATGTGATCTTGTTTTGCCTTGATGAGGGCTCATGGAGAGGCTTCTTCATTTTCTAGTAATGCTAGCTTCCAGATTCAGGCTGTGAATTGGTGCAGGTGTCCTATTACTCAATATAATAACTGGCAAGTTACAAATCTGACCTCGATGGGCCAACATTTCTGTTATTTCTGGACTGCATGGTTCTTTTTACTTACTTTAGCTTTATTTTGGTGATATTTTTCTGTGATGGTTCATGCAGTTTGGTTCATTTTAGAGCTATTTTGATATGATTATAGATGTTGCTCCTCAACTCCAAATACAGTTTTAAATATCCACTAAGTTTCTTAATTTGTTTTTATTTAAAACCATTTAAAATAATACGGGAATGAGTAGGACAGAGATGAACTTTAAGTGTCAGACCTCAGGTTGAGTTCAGATGACTGTGACACAAGCAATTGAGGTCAAGTCCAGGTGTGGTGTGCAGTGTCATGTTTTCTGCAGAATGCTGCTGTGGGGATTTTTTTTGTATTTGACGTTATGGTAGCATGACATATGACGTTGGGACCTCTGGATTTAGTAGGTGGAGAAGCTGTCATTACTTATGAATGTACTGCCATTCCAGCATTTCCTTGGTTAACTCAGGGAGTACAATGCACCCAGGCATTTAATCTTCCTTTTTCCTTGTACATAGATTTTGATTTTTTGAAGTATAGATGAACACCAAAGTGTTTAGTGTATTATGTATATAGGTTGTATATATGTATGTGTATATA